ATTTTAAAATTTATGAAAATTATACTTTAAATAATTGAATTCATGTAAAATTTTTTTGGAAAATAATTGAATGTTCATGTAGAGTTTTATCAAAATTTTTGTTTAATAATTGAATTCTTTTGGGAAATTTTATTATAATAGTACCTATAGAATAATTGAATTCTTGTGAAGAATACTATTATTTACTAATTAAAATAATTGAATTTTGCAATTAATTTTATTCAAGTTTTGGAAAATAATTGAATTTTGTCGAAGAATTTAGTTATACAATTATAAAAATAATTGAATTGTTGTCAATTTTTTTTTAGATTTTTTAAAAATAATTGAATTCTTACGAAGAATTTTATTAATTTTAAAAGTAATTGAATTCTTGTGATGAATATTGTTATTTATGAAAAAAATATATATAATTGAATTTCAGGAAAGAATTTTGCTATTTATAAAAATAATTGAATTGTTGACGAGAATTTTTTTTTTTAATTTTTGAAAATAATTGAATATCTGCAAAGAATTTTGATATTTATTCAGACTTCAATTCTTCCAAAGAACTGTGTTGAAATTTTAAAAATTTAAACTAAAATGTTAACAGAATTGAAATTAAAATTTTTCAAAAAAATATTTAATATATATTTCATTAAATGATTTTTAAGTGATCACTTTATGGGAGTTCTCCAATAGAATTAAGTTATTTAAAACACCAAATAATGTTCTAGAATATTATTTGAACATCCAAGTTCTTAAAATGTTTTGGACTATTATTTGGCGAACATGAAACTTTCTAAAGACGTTTTAAGAACGTTTTTGAAACAAACATGTTTTTTGACGCAAGAGGAGAGTTTCTCTAGAATAGCAAAAGTCTCAACTGAATGAACAAAAAATTTCGTTAATTCATTTTTGTCGTTGAAAATGATTATTTCGATTTTTCTTTGGGTAAATTTAAGCTGCAATGTCTGCGTCAATTCCTCGTAGTTTACTATGCTTTAAGCTGTTCTAAATAAACCATTGTTCCTAGAGTACCAACTGCAGAACAAAAAATTAAAATTCTCTAGAATCTGTACCTAATCCGTGAAAAGAATTTTTACAAAAAACCCAAATTTTCCAGTTTCTCTAAGGATATCAAATTGAGACAAAAAAAAGTATTAAAAATTGTTGCGAAGCAAAGCTTTGTTACGTTTTTTTGGTCGCAATTTGATATCCTCAGGAAAACAGTGATAAGAAACTAAAACAGAAAGTGCATCCACCAAATATAAAATCTTCAATAAAAGTATAATATTGAAGAACCTTAATAATGCATAAATAAAGTATAGTATAAAATTGTCCTCATAAATCATCGCGTGAAAGTGCATCTCCCTCTCTAAATTCATTCTGTGACAACACACAGATGGAGAAATGAACATTTGAATGGATGTAGAAGAGGAGTTATGGGAAGAGGAGAGATGTACTATGGCTTTTGCTGGGTAGAGTATGAAGAGAAACACGGAGTTCCTCGGTAAAGCTTCGTTACGCGTCCATTTGCCGTCAGCTGAAAGACACCAATTTATAATTATTGCATTCAATAGTGCCAGCACCGCACTCGCGACGCCAACTCTCGATATTACCAGCTATTGTGCAGTTTAGATTCTATGCGCCCTCTCCCACTTCTCTCTCTCTCTCTCACTCTCTCTCACTCTCTCGACCATCCCCGTATAACTCAAACCCCTTTTCAAACCGACTTTCTCCTCTTTTCCTCCTGCTGGTAGTCCCTCTCTTTTTCTCTCTTCACCTCGTTTCTATGGCATTTCAGAATTTATAAAATGAAACGAAAATAAATACATTTCTTTGGTTTCACTCTTCTTTGTTTGTTAAAAGACTGAGTATTTCTCTTTTTTTTGTTGTTATTATTATTATTATTGTTATACGGAGAACAAAATACAGTTTCCAAACAAAGGATCCTAAGACTTGATACAAAGAAACTTATTTTCTTTGTCTAAATAAACATTATATTACAACAATTAATTGTACGGTGTACTTAATATTTCTTTTTAAAGAAAAATATTTTTTCTTTCTTATAAAAATCATTTTTAGTTTATAATTACTTTATTTATTTAATTCATAGGCTCCTAGGCTTCTTTTTCTTCAGTTCCTAGGTTTTCTTCAACGAACAGCATAAAACTAATATTTTTATTTAAGCAAGGCTCGAACTAGAGAAAGTATTTAAAAATACGGACTTTCGGACCAAAAATGAAAAATTACGGACCATTTGCGGACCGTGCTGACAAAAATATAACCAGTCCGAGTCAAATAAAAGAGAACATTTTACTTAAAACTATAAATTAAATTTTTCATAACTATAAAACATGAAGATATTTCTTCATGTTTTATAATAATTAAAGATGACCGAGTGATAAAATCTTTATCAATTCAATTATATTTTCAAGAATTCTTAACTAAAATTCTTCTCTAAATCGATTATTTTTAATAATTTTTAATAATTTTCGAAAAAGTTCTTTGACAATTTTCAAATCAATTTGTTTGCAATATTCAATTTTACGAAATTTCAATTATTCGTAAATTCTTCAATTAAATGTATATATAATAGAAAAGAAAAACTTAAAATAATATATAAAAAAAAATTCAATTAAACTTTATCAAAATAATTAATTACACAATTCAATTATTTCTAAAAATTCACGCCATATTGCTATTTATATTCAATTATTATCTAAAATTTTTACTAAAATGCATTTTTAAATCAATTTTTATTAGAAAATTTAACGAGAATTCAATTATCTAAATACAAAAATAAATAATTTATTCAAAAATTAAATGTTTCTTAAAATTTAATTCCCATGAAGAATTTTATCAACAAATTTTTAAATAATTGAATTCTTTCGATAAATTTTAAGAATAATATCATTTTTCGAAATATTTCATTAAAATTGTATAAAAAAATAATTGAAATTCTGCGATGAGTTTTATTATTTGTAAAAATAATTGAATTCCTAAGAAGAATTTTATTGTTTTTGAATAATATTCAATTTTAGCGAAGAATATTATTACTCTTAAAAATAATTGAATTTCTGTAATAATTTCTAACTTTTCCAAAAATTAAATTTTTTTTCGTGTTTTTAACTACAATTCTTCTATAAAAATCTATATAATCAATTAACTTAATAATTATTATTATTAACTTTTAATAATTTTTGAAAAATTTCTTTGATAATTTTCAAATTATTATATAATTTTTATTTATTAGAAAATTCTACGAGAATTCAATTATTGAAATACAAAAATAAATGATTTATTAAATTGAATGTTTCCTAAAATTCAATTCCCATAAAGAATTTTATCAACAAGTTTATGAGTAACTCAATTCTTTTGACAAATTGTAATAAAATTTTTAAATATAATTACATTTTTTGAGAAATTCTATAAAAATTGAATTTAAAATAATTGAAATTCTGTGAAGAGTTTTATTATTTATGAAAATAATGAAATTATGGAAAAGAAATTTATAAAAAATTTCTAAATTATTGAATTCCTTGTGAAATTTTAATTTTTTTTATGAATATAATTAAATGTTTGCGCAAAATTTCATTAAATTTTTTTTAAATTGAATTCTTTTGGAAAATTTTATTAAGATAGTATTTATTGAAAATTTTTGAAAATAATTGAAATTTTTTGTTGAGAATTTTATAAAAATTTTTTTAAATAATTAAATTTATTCGAAGAATTTTTAAAAATAATTGAATTCTTGCAATGAATTTTATTAAAATTTTCAAAAATAATTGAATTCTTAAGATCTTTATTATTTTTTTTTAAATTGAATTCTAGCGAAGAATTTTATAAGAATCATTTTAAATAATTGATTTTTTCGAAAAATGTTATGAAAATTGTGTTTACTAATAATTAAATTCCTGCGAAAATTTTATTATTCATGAAAATAATTGAATTCATAAAAAGAATTTTATTATTTACAAAAATTATTGAATCCCTGTAATGAAAATAATTGATTTCCTATTGCGAAGAAATTTATAATAGAAAATTGAATTTTTGTGAGATTTTTATAATTTATGAGAATAATTAAATACTTTAGTAGAATTTAATTAAAATTTTTTTTAAATAATTGAATTCTTTTGGAAAATTTTATTAAAATAGTTGATATTAAAAATCATTAAATTGAGAAAAATTTTTGAAAGTAATTGATATTTTGACAAGAATTTTATTAAAATTTTTGAAAATAATTGACTTTCTGGGAAAAAGTTTTTTATTTTTGAAAATAATTGAACTTCTGCATTCATTTGTAATTTTTCCAAAATTCTATTTTATTTTTTGTGTTTTAAACTAAAATTCTCCAAAAATCCATTATTTTTAGTAATTATTTCAATATATATTTAAAAATTTAACTAATTTTAGAAGAATTTGAATAATTACCATTTTTCAAAGTTCAACTATGTTCTTTACAATTTCTAATTAAATTCATCCAAGATTGAAATTTTATAAAATTTCAAATTGAAACATTTTTAAGTTCATCTTTGTTTATGCGAATTGTAAACACAACTCTTTTAAAATTCAAATAATTTTGAAATATTTAAGTAAAATTATTTCTCATAAAGAAGTTTATCAACAAATTTTGAAATACTTGAATTCTCTTAAAAAAATTTAAAAAAATTTTAAAGAATAATTACATTTTTCGAGGAGTTCGATTAAAATTTTATTGAAAATAATTGAAATTCTGCAATGAGTTTTATTATTTGTGAAAATTCTTTAAAAATTTTCAAATTCATTTGTTTACAATTCAATTTTAAAAGATTTCAATTATTCGTAAATTCTTCAATGAAATAATATATTAGAAAATAAAAACTTTTAAAATAATTTTTTTTTTAAATTCATATAAACTTTTTCAAAAAAATTAATTCCACAGAATTATTAGTTCAGGAACATGAAAAATTCAGATTTACGGACTCTGAGAAATATTTCTGGATTATAAATGGCAGCACAAAAATACGAATGAAACAATTTTTGGTTTAACATTTCATTTTATTGAAAATAATTGACAAGTAAATGGCAATTATTTTCTCATTGTGCAAGTACAGAAGATCTGAATTAATTATCTTTTTAATAATTAATTAATATTGTAGTGGCCACCACGTTCTTTTGACATTGGTTTATTTTCAGCTGTAACAAAATCAATTCCAGATTTATTCTGATCGGAAAAATAGATAATTAATTTTTCCTTAAACATTTCGACATCGTAGGAGTTAATTATTTTTGCATTGCTCGGCTTTCCGGTCTTATTTCTATAATCAACGAGAACTGATCCCTTTCCAGCACCATCGTATACAGGCGTGACATTTGTGATTGTAAAATTTTTAATTATCTCCGGCCAAATTGCAAATGCAACAGCAACAGTATCCACAGTTGTCCATTTGGTTACTTTTGCCAAAAATGCAGCTTCTACTTTATTTAAAAATTCCACCGAAGGCGAATTCAATTTGGCAAAAACATTCATTCTCCATTCCTAGAAGAGAAGATGAAGATATTTTTTTAGGATTTTTTATTATTAAATTTTTTCTGTTTGTTTTTAATTTTATTTATCTTTACTTTTCGAATTATAATTAAATTTACTTTTTAGTTGAAAGAACGAAAGTTTTAGGAAAGAAAATTCTAGACAGAAAAAACATAGTCTGCAACCGTTTACATCTTATAAGACTACCAAAATGACTGAAAAGTAGCATATTTTTAAATTTAAAACTAATGGATTAAGTCATAACTTTAGAACTTTAAATAAAAAGAAAACTATTGAAAAAAATATTTACTTCAGATTAAAAAATATTATCGCAATTTTTCAATTAATTTACCTTTCCGGCTTGATAATTAAGAACAGTTTCCCATGGCAAAAGAGTACATGGTTTAGTTGTCGAATTCATCACTATAAAATTACTTTCGGGATCAATTGCAAAATTAAATTCAACATTAGGCATTTCATTGCCAATGCCAGCAATGCATGATCCCATTATTATTAAATCACCCAGATTTCCCATGAATGTTGAATCAAGTCTCGCGGCAAGGGCTAAATTTATTACTGGACCAATTGCAATTAATGTTACTTCACCTAAAATTAAATGAATTAGTCCATTAATTATATACGATGACAAAGCAATTTAATATCTCCATTAATTTTATGATGATAAATTTATTTATCAATAAGTCCATCACTATAAAAAATAAATCTTACTCTTAGCCTATTTTTGAGGCAAACCGTTTACATTAGAACAATTTTTAAGTGTATGAAATATTAAGACCTAAAATTGGCTTAATTTTGTTTTAAGCTTGAAAATAGAATAAACATTCTGGTTTTAAGACGTAAACGGTTTTAGGACAATGATAGTAAATTAATAAATTTATTAATTACTAATAATTAATTAGTAAATTAATATGTCAATAAATGATTGATACTATTCTTTAGTTGGTATGGCAATAAAATAATAATGAAACAGAAAACTATATTGAATTCTAAGACCAAATTAATTACCAGGGTATAATTTAATTAAATCCATTAATGCTACAGCTGCTACTGAAGATCTATTAACTTCAGCTATGATTTCCTCTGTAAATACAACGTCGCCAAGTCCATCGTTTCCAAAAACTGGAATACCCTTACGAAAGTTTATTAGCGCTCTTGTCGCGCCAGCATAAACTGGAATCTGTTTTTTTTTAAATTATTACAAATTCAGATTCAAAATTTTTAAAAAATTCACTCATCAAGTACATTATTAATTATTATTGTTTATAATTTGTGAAAATTTTAATAAAATTCTTTGTCAGAATATTCAATTATTTTCATAAAAAAATTTTTTTTTGAAGCAATTCAATTATTTTTATAAATAATAAAAATTTTCCTCAAGAATTCGATTATTTTTATAGTAAATAATAAAATTCTTCTCAGGAATTCAATTATTTACAAATAAGTTTAATAAAATTCAATAATCGAATTTTTAATCAAAATAATTAACAGACACGATTATTTAAAAATTTTGAAAGTAATTCTTTATAGAATTTAATTATTTTCATTATTTTACCCATAAAATTTAAAGTAATTCTTCAAGAGAATTAATTTTCTATTAATAATTTTAGTAATATTTAATAATATAATTATTAATAAAATTTATTAACAAAATCGATGATTTTCAAAAAATTAAAGAAATTCTTTGAAAGAATTCAATTATTTTCAATATTTTAATAAAGTTCCTTGAATCATTTGAATTTTTTCAGAATTTTTCCTTGAATCAATTATTTTTAAAAATTGTAAAAAATTCTGAAAATAATTTAATTATTTTGCTAAAAATTTTCAATTAAAATTATTAATAGAACATTATTTTCAAAAAAATTCAAAGAAATTATTCAAAACAAGCCAATTATGTATTTTTCAAAAATTTTAATAAAATTCTTCGCAAGAATTCAAATTATTTTCATAAATTCTAGCAGAAAAATTTTGGCGCGAATGTAAAAATTAATTAATAAAAAATTACTAAATAATAAGTTATTAGTCAATTTTTAAATTCAAGTCGAAAATTTTTGTCCATATTTTTTTTTCTAAGAAATTATAATTACTTTTAAATTTTTAAATTTATTTTTTTTTTATTTATTTACTTATAAATGGGATTATTATTAAATAATTTTATTAAAATGATTCAGAATTTAAATTCGCTGATTATAATTTCCATTAATTTTAATTATAATTAGAAATAAAATTTATTTTTAAATGACAATTCCTGTAAATAAAAATTCGAACAAGTGATTTAAATTCTAAATTTTAAAAGTTCAATTCAATTGAAATTCTATTAAATATCATGTCTGCTAAATCAAAATTCGATTATAATTTCTTCTAAACAAAAATTTTTTAAAATAGAGTTTATGGAATATTTCCACTCTGTTAAAATAACAATTTATTTGATTTATTCTTGTGTTAAAAAAAATATTTTATTAAGTACAAATTCGTGGTAATTGAAACAAAAAAATAAAATTAAATAATTTAAATTTTGATGTTTTAAAATTTAATTTGATTTTTATTATTAAAACAAATTTTAAATAAAAATTTTAATTGAATCGACTGTAATTAAAACATAATCATCCGATGACAATGACATTTTATTTTTCCCAAGGTAACTTGCACGAAAGATTAAGTATCAATTGTCCTTTTAGAAAATAAATTGATCAGCAGATTTAAAATTTTTTTATAAATCACTAGATAACATAGCACATGAGTAAATAGTAAATAATTTTCTATTTTTAAAACGAGGAAAAATTATTCTCCATTCTCATTAAATTCTTTTTCAGTGAGACCGGAATTTTTATAAGACATTTTTATAAATTATTATTGTTTTTCTATTGTCTATTTTCTTGAATCTGTTGAATTATGAAATTGAATCTATCAAATAATAAATTGTTTGTTAAATAAAAAATTCTCTATTAAATAAAAAATGTTCTATTAAATAATAAACTGACTCTTATGTAATAAATTATATTTGTATAAATGTATATTTGTATATAATAAATTATCTTTTTAATTAATTAATTAATTATTGAATAAAAGATTATCTATTAAATAATAAAATATCTATTAAGCAATAAATTATCTACAAAGTTATAAATTTTCTGCAAATAATAAACTATTTATTAAAAAATAAATTATCCATTATGTAATAAATTTTGTATTAAGTAATAAATTATTTACTATAAATAATGAAAATAATAAAAATTTAAAATTTGATATAATAGATTGTTTTTTCTTTTGCACTTACATCACTCCTTTTTGCAACAGTTAATGTTTTCAATATATTTAGCTCAACGTTTACTTCCTCAGTATTCCCATATACACATGTAATTGCAATTATTTTTATCTTATCCTTGTGCATTGCTTCATAATTTAATGCCAAAAGAATTGCTGTAACATCATCGCCACCTCCATCCGTGTCAATAATTATTTTTTTTGGTCCTTCTAATTTCTTCACTGGACTTGCTTGACTGCGAGAAAAAGGGAATAAAATTTTCTAGTTCGATTAACTTAAATTAGTAACTAAAAAAATTATATTAATTTAAAACTTAAATTAATTAACTTTAATTCTGTATTAAATAAAATTATATATAGAATAAAATTTTGTATTAAATATTAAATTAATAATTAATGTACAGGTAAAAATAATAATTAGATTATCATTGAGGTGAAAATTAATTTTTATGAAACAAGAAAAAAATTGTCACTATTCTATTATGTTTACAAAAAATTATAGCAAAGTTCCATTTAAAATTTTACATGTTCAAAAATGTTGATAGAAGAATGCAAAAAGTAAACAGCAAACGGTAATTCATTTTTCCTTTATTCTGAATTTATAATTCCGTTTTCAATAAATCACTTAAAATTCGCACAGTGCTGAAATAGAGAAAAATAAAATATTTTTACTCTTTTCAATTGCAAACAAAAATTTTTTCATTTTGAATTTTGAAAAATAGAAAAATAGTAGAAGAAAAAATTTGTTCGTGTCTAAACTTGAAAGGGGGAAAAAAAATTTTTAAATCCAGATAAATTTTTTATTCGGCAAAATAGGTGATCAATTTTTCCTTAAACATTTCAACATCATAGGATTGAATTATTTTTGCATTTTTTTGCTTTCCACTGCTATTTTTATAATCAACGAGAACTGAACCCTTTGCAGCACCATCGAATACAGGCGTGACATTTGTGATAATAAATTTTTTAACAATATTTGGCCAAATTGCTATTGAAACAGCAATTGTATCAACTGATGACCATCTTGTTGCATTCACCAAGTGATTGTATTCGACTTTATTTAAAAATTTCACCGAAGGCGAATTCAATTTGCCGAAGACTTCTTTTCTGAATTTCTGTGGAAAAGCAAAAAGCGGAAATAAAAATAAAAGAACATCAATATTTTATTAACAAAAATTGAGGGGATTTTGTAATTTTTAAAAATTATTATTTTACCTCTCCAGCTTGATAGTTAAGAACAGTTTCCCATGGTAAAAGAATACATGGTTTTGTTGTCGAATTCATCACTATAAAATTACTTTCGGGATCAATTGCAAAATTAAATTCAACATTAGGCATTTCATTGCCAATGCCAGCAACACTCGATCCCATTATTATTAATTCACCCACATTTTCCATGAATGTTGAATCGAGTCTCGTGGCTAGGGCCAAATTTGTTAGCGGACCAAGTGCAATTATTGTTACTTCTCCTAAAATTAAATTAATATAATAAATCCATTAATTATGGATAAGTTATATTTAAAAAAAATTACTAATACTAATATTATATTAAAAAAAATTTATTTGATTCAAATAACCGATTTCTTGACTATTATGTCAATTAAATATTTAGGTACTTCAATCAAATAATTTTTATTTGAGTCAATTAAATGGTATTTGCTTCAAGTACTAAAATTATTAGTTCTTCAAATACAATTTGATTTGAATAAAAATTATTTGATTCAAGTAAATATTTAATTGGAAATAGTCAAGTATGTAATTGGTTATTTGAGTCAAACAAATTTTTTTTCAGTGCAACCTTTTTCCAATTAACAAAAGTTTTCTTTACAATTTTTTTCACTGAGAAAACGATTTATTTAATAAAAACAAATTTTGTTTAAATCAAACTTAAAATATCTTTGCTTTACAGTCAAATATATTTTTTAATTCAAACATATTTTTTTATTAATTTCAAGAAGTAATAATCTAATAATATATTTGATTCAAGCATAAGTTATAGTTGATTTAAAATTTTTTAGAATCAAATTTTTAGGTGATAAAAAAACAAAGTTTTTAAACATATTTTTTGTTTAAATCAAAACAGAATAAATATAATATTTGAATTAAACATAATTATTTAAACAAATAATATTTTTGAATCAAAGCAATAGATATTTTCTATAGGTATAATTTGGATTAAGCTTATTAACTGATTTTAATTAAACAAATTCAGTTAAAAATTTTTGTATTTGAATTAAGTATAATGTTTTCTCAGTGAATTGAATTGTAAAAATTGCCTTTACAATATTTTTTGAATTGTAAAAATGTCCTTTACATTTTTTTCAATTGTATGTAAAAGTTTCCTTCATAATTTCTTTTTAATTTTTATTAAAATGTTATTTTATTTTAATTATAAAATTTATTTTCTAAATAAATAAATAAATCAATCAAATTTTAAACATTGTTTTTACAATTACTTCTGCAAATATAATAATTGAAATAGAAACTAAATTAGATTGTAGTGCGAAATAAATTACCCGGATACATTTTGATGAAATTAATTAACGCCACAGCTGCCAATGAAGATTTATTAACTTTGGCTATAATTTCCTCTGTAAATTCAAAATCACCGAGTCCATCTTTCCCGTAGAATGGAATACCCTTGTAATTGTTTATTAGCGCTCTTTTTGCGCCACCATAAACTGAAATCTGTTTTTTTTTTAACAAATGCAAAAACAAAATTTAATGGAAAATTAATTTTTCTTTGATTTAATGAATATTTCTTAGATGCAAAAAAAATTTCTTTGATTCAAATAACCGATTACTTGTCTATTGTCAAATAAAAATTTACTTAAATTAAATAATTTTTATTCAAATAAAATTGTATTTGAACCAATAATTTCAGTATTTGAAGCAATTACAATTTAATTGACTCAAATAAAAATTATTTGATTCAATTATATATTTATTTTATTCAAGTAAATATTTATTTGATTCAAGTAAATATGTATTTGATTCAAGTAAATATGTATTTGATTCAAGTAAATATTTATTTGATTCAAGAAAATATTTATTTGATAATAGACAAGTAATCGGTTATTTGAATCAAATAAATTTCTTTTTCATTGTAGCAATATTTCTTTAATTAAAAAAACAATTTTCTTAGTAGGAAAGAAAATTTTTTTAAATCAAAGAAAAGTTGTTTAAATCAAAGAAATTTTCTTTGAATCAAAAACACTCTTTTTGTTTGAAAGAAAAATTTATATTGAATAGAAAAAGCAAGTCTAAAAAACTGATTTCTATAAATTAACAAAAACTTTTTTCTTCGTGTATAGGAACAAGTTGTTTATTACTAGCAGAGACGGTTTAAACAATATATAAAGAACAAAGAAATTTAAAAAAAGGAAAATGTAATCACTGATGATATTGACATCATTATTTTTCTAGTGTAACTTGCAACAGAAATTAACTAATCAATAATTTGTCCTTTCAGAAAGGACAATGATTATTAGATTAGAAATTGTTTACGTATAACAAATCTATAAATTGTTAACTTCTTTTTAAATTAAAATTGCCAACAAATATTTATCAAGTTACGTTTGAATTTATTTATTCTTCAATATTGGAATGAAAAATTTAAACATATTTTTTTCATGGAAAAAATTAATTCAAAAATGGATTAATTTAATCTTTTTTGGTGTTAATTTAAGCTGCAACGCTTTTTAATGCCTTCTAGATTACTAATTTATTGTTTTTGATTTTATCTTTAAAATTTGTTCTATTATTTCTACATTTATTTTAGAACATTTCTAGAATCGTATTTTTTATTTTGTTTCAAATATTTATTCTACATCCATTCTAAAATATTCTGTAACACTAATATTCTAGAAGTATAATTTTGATATTTTTTAATAATTATTATTCTATACATCTATTCTAGAACTGTTTTTCTGATCTTATCTTTAAAAATTATTCTATATTCATTGTCGAACATTTCTAAAACTTTGTTTTAGATTTTTGCTCTATATTCTATTCTAGAACAATTCTCTAATCTAGAAATGCTTTTCAAAAATTTTTTTCTGTAAAATTTGTTCCACATTTGTTTTGAAACAATTCTAAAACTATATTTTATATTTCATATCCAAAAATTGTTCTATAATCTAATCTAGATAAGTTTTGGAATATTTATTTTAAATTAATTCTAGAATTGTTAATTAATATTGTTAGTGCAGAAAAATTTGGATGACAACCCAGTGTAGACAACAAAACTGTTTCAAAACTATTATGGTACAGTTGCAGAACAGTTTTTTTGTGCTATGTAATTATTGTTTTTTAAAAGTTTTCACTTTATAATAAGACATATTATTTTTAAAACAATAAAGTTTTTCTACAACCACAGAGAGAAAAAAAGAGTCTGAAACCATTTACATCTTAAAACCAAAAGGATTAAAAATTGTTATTTTTTGCTTAAAACTAGATTAGTGTCAATTTTGAGATTTAAAATCATACTTTCAAGACTAAAATTCAGTCAATAATGGTACTAATGTAAACGGTTTTATAGTGAAAAGTAAACTGAAAGTACGATTTATTTTTTACAGCAAATGTTCTAAAAGTTGTTTTTAATTATTTAAAATCTGTTACAGAACTTATTAGAACTCCTATTCACCAGGAGGACGACATTGTTAGTAATCTATAATTAGTAACTAATTTTCTTCTGTTTTGTTTTTTGTTATTTTTTCTGTTTTTTCCTCTTCCTTATTTGATACAGAATCTTTGTGCTCAGGGAATTTTTATAAATACAAAAAATTTAAATAAAAAAAAGATTAAAAATTCAACTGACAATGAGAACGTAACAAAATTTTTTTTTTTTGTTTTACTTACATCATCCCTTTTTGCAACAGTCAATATTTTCAAAACATTTTGCTCAACGTTTATTTCCTCAGTATTCCCATGTGTACATGTAATTGCAATTATTTCTATCTTATCCTTGTGTATTGCTTCATAATTTAATGCTAAAAGAATTGCTACAGCATCATCGCCTCCTGCATCCGTATCGATAATGATTTTTTTTGGTTTATTTACACGTTCCACGTATATGCTTGATTGACTGCTGGGTAAAAGGATACAATTTTTTAATTCACAATAAATAATAGTTAAAAAATTTTAATATTCAAATTAGAACATTTAAACTTTGAAAGAATGTCTGGGGATCAACTTTCATAAATAAATTAGTATAAATATAAATATAAAAATAAATTATTACAGTGTTACATTCTTAGACTGTATTAAAATATTATTTGAAATTAATTCATACGGTATAGAAAATATATCAAAATAATTAGTATTCAGATTTGTTATAATAATATTCGATAATATAGAAATCTTACGTGGTCAGAAATGCTGACAGAAGAAGAAGAAAAGAAAGTACTATCCAGTGAGTCATTCTCCCTTTTTTTCTGAATTTATAATTCCGTATTCAATGAATCATTAAAAATGCAAAAAATCCTAAAAAAACAAAATTATTTTCACTTGACAATTTTTTCAGTTGTGTAAAAAATTCTAATGTCTAAATTTTAAAATCAAATTTTGCAAAAATTACAAATATTATACTTTCGATATCTTACCGTCTTCTTAATTAATATAAATGAATTTTAAGGTAATTTCTAAATTTACACTATGACATTTTAATAACAATTACAATAAAAATAATAATTATTATTATAATATTAATGAAAGTTTAATAAAAATAAAATATTAGAATCAATAGGAAATAAAAATAATAGGAAAAAATAATAATAATAATAATAAAATAAAATTAGTAATAATAATAACAATAATAGTAATAATATTAATAATGACACTTAAAAAAAATATCACAGACGAACTTCTTATTTGATCATTATGTTTGAAACTGAGTTCCTCTCACTATTCTGAGCCTCTATTTTCCCACCCTTTTCATTTTCTCGATCGAATTGTTTTTCATTGTTATGTGAGTATATCGCCAATATAAAAATACTATTAATCTATTAGTCATTGTCTATAACACTGTATTGAATAAAATTCCTGAATGATTTGAAAAATAAACAAAAACTTGTACAATAATTTATGGAAATGATTTTTATTCCACGGTAAAAATATGCGAGATTTGTAAAATGAATTTAAAAATATAACATGTACATAACAAATACTCTCTCAAATTGATCATAAATAATTTAAAGATAACATATCTTTTCGTTTATTATGGATTCGGTTTAAAGTCAATTAATAAACAAAAAGTTAAATTTTATTCTCGCATTCATTATTTATTTATGTATTTATTTTCTTATTTCGCATATTGTAAATTTTCTTTTTCTCTTATCATTTTTATCTAAGGATTTGAAATTGCTTTTTGACACCAAGAATATACATCATGAAAAGGAGGAAAACTTTTTTTTGGAATATAGAAAAATAATTGATTTTATAAATGATTAAAATATAAAAAATGGGAATTTAATTAAAATTATAATATTTTTTAGGAGAAATTACTATTTATTAGTAGGTGAAATTTACTAATTCAAATTTCAAAGGCAAAAAGACAGTCACTAATTTAAATTTAAAGTAAACATTTTTATTAATTCAAATTTAGAGAATATTGTCTTATACTTATTATTCATTATTTTCTATTTATTACTTATTATTTTATGTTTATCGTTGTTTTATTTTTTTATATAATATACTTTAAACTAATTGAAAAATATAAATTTTATACTATTTCATTGTTTATGAGTAGGTGGAGAATTAAAAGAAAATTATTGAATCTGAAAATATAAAAGATTTCAAGCATTTCCATACTTGGATTTAATTATTATAATTAGTCCGACAAATGATCTGCTATTTATGATAATAATTTTTTTTTTCAATACTTTGAAATGAAAATAATTATGCGATACACCGTAAAATATGTGTGAGCATTAAATCCACGTTTAATAACAAATGATAAATAACCAGTTTACACCTAATTCTATTTAAATTCATTATAAATACAGTTACAAAGAATACAAACTATTTTGTATCTAAATAAAAATGATAGTGATAAAATTTTATTTAGCATAACAATTTTTTTAAATTATTTTAAATAATATAATTACATTTTTAATTATTAGATTGAATTGAATTATTATTAATTCGACGAATTTATTATTTATCAAATTATAATCGTTAATTTTAATAAAAATATCAAAAACCATACTTAAAAAATAATTCATAATTTAAATAATAATTATTTTTATTTTTACCTTTGCTAATTATAATATTGAAATTAATATAATTATTCTATTTGTTAATATTAGTATTATTAGTATTATCAGTATTATTAATATTTTTTAATTTTATTTTTTAATATTAATATCGAAAGTAATATTTGCAAAATAATTTCAAAGAATTAACAAAATAGTAATAAATAACTAAATAAATTTGCAAATACTCTTACCTTAATTGAAGCACCCAATAAATATTTCAAGTCCTTTTGTATGGTAATTAAACAAGATTTTAATTTTAATTAATTATTTAATTTAATTTTTATAGTAATTTCTCTGTGATAATTTTTCGTTCAAGTAATGAGAATCTATTAAAAATACACTTGTTTGCCGAACGTCAATGAACCAAATGTTGTAATTAAATTTTATTTTCTCTAACAGCGTTCCAACAGGTTCATGTCAACTGGTTTTGAATGTAAATTTCCTTCTTTTTGTTACTTTATTACATTTGCTGATAAACATTTATTTAATCAAAGGAAACATATATTTAGTAATCTTTTTCGTTTATGGTCGCGAGAGGTCAAATTTGTCAATGTAAAGAAAACGATCATTTTTTTTAAAGAATTCGGAGAATTTTTTTCGACTTTACTGCATTTTTTTTTTTATTATCTGATAATTATAAAAATATCTTTCTTTCCACTGCTGGTTGAATTATCATTAATGATAATCGATCACTAATGTTTTTTTGGCAATAATGTATTTTTTATCATTTATCTTTTTGTATCGTTTGTATTTTTTCTATTCATTGAACATTTTCTTAATAATTCATAATTTTTATTATTAAAATTTATATCGTTAATATTTTTATTCTCTATATTCAGAAACGTATTTTTCTTATTCGGCATTTTTTTAATTATTAGCATCAGCAAAATAATATTTATTTTTAATAAAAAATATTTTACTAACACCTTATCATCATCATCATCAAAAGCAACAATATTTTTTTTCTCCACCGAAAGAATTATTAAAAAGCAGCATTATTATTACCTTCATCATAATCTTTATCATCATCAACAGCAACGTTTTTTTCTCTTTATTGAAAAAATGATAACCTAATTTTTAATTTTTTGTAACATCTTCAGCAGCATTAATATTAACATCAAAAGCTACAGTAATTTTTTTCTCAACCTGAAGAATTATTAAGAAGCAGCATTAGTATCATCTTCATCATAATCTTTATCATCATCAACAACAACATTATTTTTTTCCCCTTCATTGGAAGATGATAACCAAATTTTTAATTTTTTGTACCATCTTCAGCAGCAGCAGCATCAATATCAACATCAAAAGCAACATTATTTTTTTTCTCAACCAGAAGAATTGTGTTCTCCCATTTTATAATTTTTTGTAACATCTTCAGTAGCAGCAGCATTTTATGATCATCAACATGAAGATTATTTTTTTCCCCTTCATTGGAAGAATGATAACCAAATTTTTAATTTTTTGTACCATCTTCAGCAGCAGCATAAATATCATTATCAAAAGCAACAATATTTTGTTTCTCAACCGGAAGAATTGAAGAATTTTTTGTAACATCTTCAGTAGCAGCATCAATATCATTATTAAAAGCAACAATATTTTTTTCCCTAACCGGAAGAATTTTTTGTAACATCTTCAATAGCAGCAGCATTATTTCCATCTTCATCATCATCAATAGCAACATTATTTTTTCCGTCTTCATCAGAAGAATGATATTCTAATTTTTCATTTTTTGTACCATCTTCAGCATTATCATTATCACTATCAAAAGCAACATATTTTTTTCCCTCTTCATTAGAAAAATGTTGATCTGATTTTTAATTTTTTGTACCATCTTCAGCAGCATTACTATCATTATCAAAAGCACCAACATTTATTTCTTTTTCAACAGAAGAATGATACATTCCTGTTTTATAATTTTTGGTAACATCTTCAGCAGGATAATCATTAGCATCAGCATTATCATTATTACCATTTCCAAAAGCAACATCATTTTCTTTTTCACCAAGGAAATTATATTCTACCATTTAACATTTTTTGCAAGCAGCATCATTATTCTTTTCGTTTGTACTACAAGAATGGTAAAATTTTTCACAACTGTATTTTTTTTATTATCACCGTCATCGCCATTTTCTTCATCACTGTATTTCTTGGTCACCACATTATAATCAACATCATCTTCTTTCGTACCAATTTTTCCCCAAAATGCCAAATCGCCACAAATAGAGCACTTCCTCAGAAGGAAGCAAGAAGATGCCAAGTGTTAATTTACCAATCAGTCAAAAAAAATAATTGTACAATCAAAAAATCTTTTCTTCTCAATATTGCCAACAAAGTGAACAAAGTGAACAAAGTGAACAAAGTGAACAAAGTATACAACTCCGAATGAGAAAAAAAGAAAAATATTTTGCACAATGTACAGAGATGGAAGAAGAAGTCTACTGTATGAGAAAAAAGGGGGGGGTCGAGTTGTAGTGTATGGAACAATTGGAGATTGCAATTTGCCGAATGGACCTCTAGGATAACGGTTCCGGAGAAAACGAGTTGGTGGGGCGGAAAGGCGGCAGAAATGCAACGAATTCGAAAAGAGCGAGACCAATGCCTGCATACGTAATGCCATCCTTCCATTGTCAACCCAACGGCGCCAGGTTCTCTCCTCTTTTGTCTAGCGTGGCGCGCGGAACGAGAGCCCGCGGAAAATTCTGATCGCACCCGAACCATATCGATCTTCGACCGATCATTTGCATGCTCATTGTTCGTGCATCCAACGAAATTCCGCGGGAACAATATTCCGAGAGTGAGTGAGTGAGTGAGTGAGAGAGAGAGAAAGCAGTCGCGATGGTGCCAAACGCTTTTCCAAAGATTCACCCTGTGCGCTCTCACTTGTTCTATATAGAGTGTAGTCTCGTTCTGCATATTGAAATAAGGTCTCAGGCACGCCCGCTACCCCAATAATCGTTTCCCGTCATTATTCCGCACCTCCTTCTGATCAAAAATCCACTATATAGGTGTACATCAAAAAAATTAATTGTCTAACAGCTAATAGGGGGGAGTAGGCGCGATTGACGCAGTTTTGGGGACGAAATTTCATTTTTGGGAATTATTAGGAGAATTGGATACTAATTACTTTTATAAATAAAAGATGTTTTGATTCTTCTGTTTGGCCTAATGGCTTAAAGCCATTAGGACAAACAGAAGAATCAAAATATCTTTTATTTATATAATTTTATATAGCTTCTAAAAATATTGAACTAATTTCTTTTGGCAATATGATTCAGTTGCAGCTTTATGAATTTAATGATTAATTTAATGATTGTTCCAATGATTGTTTTTGCTCGAAATCGCTCGAAATGTACACTGAAACAAAAAATTTATTTGATTCAAATAACCGATTAATTGACTATTGTCAATTAAATATTTGCTTGAATCAAATAATATTTATTGGAGTCAATTAAATGGTTTAGTTCATATTTGCTTCAAATACTGAAATATTATTGGTTCAAATACCATTTAATTGACTTCAATAAATATTATTAAATTCAAGTAAATATTTAATTGATAATAGTATCAATTAATCGGTTATTTGAAAAAAAAAAAATTTTTTTCAGTGTATATATAATTGTTTAAATTACAGGAAGCATTCGAATGGTAGTATCAACTGTACCGCGCAAAGAGAATAAAGATTGACACAAATAACAAGAATCGACTACAACATTAGTGAATAAATGACAAATAATTTTTACACTAATTTTTATATATTCAGGGTTGACACAAAAATTTAATTTTGTTTTTCCTTGACTTTTCCCTGATTTCCAAACAAAATTTTCACCAGACCCTAAAAAATATTCTGATTCACTCTAATAATTATTATTAGATTCAATGTTCTATTACATTTATTTACGAATTTCTTTAATTGTAAAATTATAGTCGAAAACATCAATAACTTAATTTTTAAATAAAATATTTTATCATTATTATTTTCCCACAGGAATTAAGATTTTCAAAAATTTCAAATTCAAACATTTTTCACATTCAACAACTTATAATAATTAATAATTATTTTCAATCATTTTTAACTAAAATTCTTCTTTAAATCAATTATTTTTAATATTTTTTGAAAAAGTTCTTTAAGAATTTTCAAGTCCATTTACTTACAATTCAATTTTACGAAATTTCGATTATTCGGATATTCTTCAATTAAAATAGAAAATAAATACTGCAAATAATTTTTAAAAATTATTCAATTCAACTTTTTCAAACAAAAATTAATTACACAGAATTTTTACTTAAAATTTTGAAAAATTCAAATTTTCAAAGATTTAAGTTTGAAACCTTTTCAAGATTCAATTATTTCTAAAAATTCACGCTTTAATGCTTTTTTTATTCAATTATTATCTAAAATTTTAACTGCGAAATTAATTAATAAATCATTTTTTTATCAGATAATTCTACTGAAATTCAATTATTTAAATACAGAAATAAATAATTTATTCAATAATTGAATATTTTCCCAAATTGAATTCTCAAAAAGAATTTTATTAACAAATTTTTAAATAATTGAATTCTTTCGATTAATTTTAATAAAATTTTTAAGAATAATTACATTTTTCAAGGAATTTGATTAAAATTGTAGGTATTAAAAACAATTGAAACTCTGCGATGAGTTTTATTATTTTTGAAAATAATTGAATTCCTAAAAAGAATTTTATTATTTATGAAAGTAATTGAATCCATGTAAAAAAATTTATTACTTTTGAAAATAATTGAATTGTTGCGAAGAAATTTATAAAAAATTTGTAAATAATTGAATTCCCGTGAAATTTTTATTATTTATGAAAATAATTCAATGTTTGCGTAGAATTTTATTAAATTTTTTTTAAAAATATTTTAATTCTTTTGGAAAATTTTATTAAAATAGTAGATATTCAAAATCATTGATTTTAGATACATTTTTGAATTTCGGAGAAGAATTTTATTATTTATAAAGATAATTGAAAATTTTTCGAGAATTTTTCTTAATTTTTAAAAACAATTAAATTTCTGCAAAGACTTTTATTACTTTTGAAAATAATTGAATTATTGTGAAGAAATTTTTTTAAAAAATTAGTAAATAATTGAATTCCTGTAAAAAAATTGATTTCTTCTGAAAATAATTGAATTATTTGCGAAGAAATTTATAAAAAATTTGTAAATAATTGAATGTTTGGATAGAGTTTTATTAAAATTTTTTTAAATAATTGAATTTATTTGAAAATTTTTATTAAAATAGTAGATATACAAAATCATTGAATTGAGGGAAATTTTTAAAAATAATTGAATTTCGGAGAAGAATTTCATTATTTATAAAGATAATTGAAATTTTGACGAGAATTTTTCTTAATTTTTCAACATAATTGAATTTCTGCAAGGAATTTTATTACTTTTGAAAATAATTGAGTTATTGCGAAGAAATTTTTAAAAAATTTGTAAACAATTGAATTCCTGTGAAATTTTTATTATTTATGAAAATAATTAAATGTTTGTGTAGAATTTTATTAAAATAGTAGATATATTGAAAACTATTAAATTAATAAAAACTATTGATCGTAATTGAAATTCTGCCAAGAGTTTTATTTAAATTTTTTAAAATAATTAAATTTCGGAGAAGAATTTTATTATTTATCAATAATTGAAATTTTGTCTAGGAATTTTTTTAAATTTTTGAAAAAAAAATAAATTTTTTCGAAGAATTTTATTACTTTTGAAAATAATTGAATTTCTGCAATTATTTGTAATTTCTGCAAAATTCAATTGCATTAGTGTTTTTATAACTAAAAATCTTCTATAAATTCATAATTTTTAATAATTAATTAAATATTTTTTTTAAATATAACTAATTGCTGAAGAATTTGAATTATTAAAATTTTTCAAAAATCTAAGTTCTTTAAAATTTCTAAATTAAATTCATTCAAAAAAAGAAAACTTAATAAAAATTTAAATTAAAACCTTTTAAATTTCATCTAAACTTAACTCTTTTAAAATTAAATTAATTGTGAGATATTTAAGTGAAAGTATATTTATTAAATAATTTATGATTAATAATTTTATGATAGTTCTTCATAAGTTAAGTTATTCAAAAGAAATTATTATTGACAGAAATAGAAAAAATTGAAAGTTTTGTATTAGAATTCGTGGTAATTTCATAGTTTATGAGGCAAACAAAAAAGACACAAAAATTCAGAATTTTCTTATGAATTCTAAAAATTTAATTTTTTACAGTTCTTTTAATAAAAATCCCTGACTTTTCCCTGAGTTCTTTGACTGCCCTGACCTGTAGCAACCCTGTTATTTATTATTCCCGCAAAAAAACGAACTGAATAAAAATTGTTTAAAAGTAGGGGTACTGACAAAATTTCGAAAATAAAATTTCATTTTTGAGAGCAACTACAATTGAACTCTAATATTTCATTTACCACCTCGTTTCTCAGAAAAGAAAAAAATTTCTTCCAATGAATAATAAATAAATTAAATAACCGTCTAAATAAATAATTAATTGAAGAAGATCTGAAGATGGAGACAGAAACAAAATTCCAAAAAGCACTGGATCAAAAAATATATTGAATAATATATCAGATTCGCAAAAACCATTTTGCACATTTGTGGAATGGAGGTGTGTGAACCCCTGGCCAACAGTATATAAAGAGAGAGAGTGAGAGAGAGTGAGTGAATACCTTTTCTCCGCAATTTTTCCGCCACATTTGCCATTGTCTCGACAACAACAATACCATCGTTGCCTAGCGTGATGACATAAAAATATGTTCCAGTCCACCCCCGCGGCTTTTGCATGGTCACCTACCTATTGTCGCCACAAGCGAATATGAATTCGATGCTCGAATTAATTTAGAAAGACTAGAATTTGAGTAACGAGACGTAAATCACATTTTCGGTATATATATACAGTCAAACCAGAAAGAGAGAAAAAGGGACATATTTTATGTCCAAATGTCCTTTTTCCTCGCCATACATACATATTTGAGAATAAAAGAAAAACTGTCTTTGTATTTAATTTTTTTTTTTAAATTTGGGTAGAAGTTATATTACTGCAAAGCGAGCGGTCAATAAAGTGGACATTATTGCCCTGGGGCAATAATGGCCACTTTATTGACTACTTTATTGACACTTATTGCCCTAGGGTATTAATGGTTACTTTATACACCACTTTATTGACTATTATTACCCTAGGGCAATAATGGCCGCATTATTGACCATTATTGACCTAGAATTATATTATTTATTAAAAATTATATTACTGCAGAGCGAGCGGTCAATAAAGTGGACATTATTGCCCTAGGGCAATAATGGCCACTTTATTGACACTTATTGCCCTAGGACAATAATGTCCACTTTATTGACCATTATTTCCCTAGAATTATATTATTTATTAGAAATTATATTACTGCAGAGCGAGCGGTCAATAAAGTGGACATTATTGACCATTATTACCCTAGGGCAATAATGGCCACTTTATCGACCGCTGGGCTATAAGGGGGAACTTATCATGCTCATAATATAAAAGAGTGAGTTTCATAAAAATTATTCCCGTTTCTGTTGTAAATAAAAATATATAAAAATTAAAAGAAAGAGAACGAACGATTTTTTTCTCTATACTAAACATATAGAGTATGGAAAGAAGAAGAAGAAAAAAAAATTGAAAAAAAAGAAGAGGTAGACGTAGCGACTACAATTAAGCTGGTCTGTCCGTGGCTGAGTTGTTCCATTGAGAGAATTGGCTTGCCCAGGCAACCAACTATCGGGCAGAATTGAGAGTCTGAGAATAGAAGAGAGCGGTGGGGGGGTTTTGCAGATTATCAAGCATCAGTTGCTGGGAAGAATAAGCAACCGCCAACCGTCATTTAACTTTAACGCTCCAACTACCCCCTTTCTACCCCCTGGCAACCCTCGAGGACCAACGTCAGTCCACGCTAATTAAATCTGCCTATGTATTCTCCTAACTTTCCCCCTCTTCCTCGCCATTCACAAATACCTTACTTTTAGTTTGTACTCAATTCCTACCCACCCACCCCCCCCCCCCTTTCCTCTTTTTTCTTCTTTTTCAATATGAGAATGAGTCGATTAATTTCTTCTTTTTCTTGTTCTTCGAAATTCGAATTCTTATTTATTTATTTCTATTTTATGTTTATTCACTATGCGTAATTTTTTTCTAGTTTGTAAAAATAATATTGTTATTATTATTTATTAAATAATAAATATTAAAATATAATATATTTATATAAATATTGTTTATTATATAAAATATTAAAAAATTAATTAAATAATAATATTTATTATTAAATTTATTATTTATTTAGTGTTATTATTTTTACTAATAATAATTTTATCTAACTTGACAACTATTTATTTATTGAAGAAAATGTATTATTTATTTTATTCTTTTA